ACTTCTTCAGTTATTGCAGCAAAGCAAGGTTTGTCAAACAATTTGTCATACCTTCAATAAATTGATATGATGAAACCTTGCATAAGAGAAGTTGGTGTTGACGCAAGTTGAAGAATGAATAAAAATAATAGAGAAAAATTTTGGAGATGATGCAGGATTGATAAATCACTTGAATACGTGATTATACAGGGTACGGAAAAAGTACTGTACCTCTTGATTTGACATCAAAAACTAACTTGTTTTTCAACCGTTTTTGATAATTTTTGTATCACTATCTGAAGTAAAGCTCGCTCTATCATTCCAAATCTCACCTCGAAAACTCGCGGTTCAACGAAATGACGGCTCCACATCCGAAGCGCGCCAATATCATTGCGCTACATGTCGATGGATGGGATGTGCAGAAAATAGCGAAAACTCTCGCCATGAGTTCAAAAACTGTCAGATGACCGCTACAGGTGTAGGAGGGACCATGGACCGTCAGAGAAGTGGTCGTCCCAGACTGGCGGTCACACGGAGCAACCATTAGAAAGCCAGTGGAGGCCATTAGAAAAAGAATGACGCATCTATGCGAAAAATGGCCCAGGATTTGCAGATCGACGAAAAATCGGTACGAAACATAGTAGTAAAAAAGCTGGAGATGTACAGTTATCGTATGAAAAAAACTTACGACCTGACGGATGCAAACAAAAGAACAAGAGTGGAAAGAGTCGCAGTCTACTGAGGTGTGCCGCAAACAACCGTCATCTAAACTTCATATTTTCAGAAGAAAAAATCTTCATCGTTGAAGCCGCGCACAACCGTCAAAACGACAGGGTGATATTACCGAAATCACAGATGTCGGATCAGAGCAAAAAAAAGGCAAAATCCGGCGTCTGTAATGGTTTGCGCGTTCGTCACGAGCGACGGGAAGTCGCCGCTGATGTGAAAATTAATCAAGAACGGACTCAAATGATGTGCTTGTGCATCATTTTGTTCCCTGGGTCAAGACGCACTTCCGTAATCGACCGTACTTCTTTCAACAAGATTCGGCCCCGCCCATAGGGCGAAGTCTGTTCAGGAGTGGTGCGAGCGTAATCTGTACGACTTCATATCGGCGCGGAAATGGTCCCTTTTAGCCCAGACCTTAACCCATCAGACTACTCCATATGGGGGTCTTGGAGGAGAAGGCTTCTGCCACATCTCATCGAAGTTTGGAGTCGCTGAAGCGAGCCCTGAAGAAAGCATGGACCCAAATTGACGTATATTATTATCGACGCACGTTGATGACTTCCCTCGTCGTTTACGCGATTGTATAGCCAGAAAAGGGAACCCAAATTGAATGCTTTTCATATTATTCTTTAAACTGTGATCGTTATAGCAATAAATTTTCTGAATTCCACTTTTTTGACCTCGTTTTTGCGGGACCATTCGGAGGGACTGTACTTTTTCCGCACCCTTTATAACTGGTTTGTGGCATAAATGCTTATTGAACGGTATGAGATGTATGGATGTGAGGTATACGTGGGAATTGATTTGTGAATAAAAGGTTTATTACAAATCCACTTTATAAAATCTTACGGTGGATCCCGCATAAACGCCCTCCTATAAGCTTCCCCAGGATCAGTGAATTTTGCACGCATTTGGCACATATCCTTTACAGTTACGTTCATGTTAACTTCACGACAGTTTGGTCTAAAAGTGAGTTTCTATAACATAACACTAATGAAACATCCAATTTTTATATATGTGTTTGTCGTTCAAAATTCTTTGCTTTTGCAATACCCAGCGATTAATCGTCAACAGCTCACACTTTGCAGCAGAAATTGGGAGCAATAGAAACTTTTTCGGAAGAGGTGTCGCTGCACGAAGGCATCCACTGCAGACCAGTCTTGAATTCTTTCAACTCATTTGTCATCTGTTTATGAATGGAATCTTTTCAATAATCGCAGCTCATAAATGAAGACCTACCAGCGTCCTGACCTTGCAAACCTGGTTGGAAAACCAGTCGGTAGCATTTTGAAAACCACAACACTGAAGTCACAATATCAAGATCTATAGAAAAGAAAAAACCAAAAACCACCAACGCTGTAAGCTTTGTGCATCTCCTCTATTTTCTCCAACATTTTACGATTAGGTCTATTTTCCACAATTATGTAAGCATATAGATCAGCAATCAATGCTTTGGAATGTGCTCGAAAACCAGCTGAAATGCTTTTAATAGTACGACATTGTTTCCAAGTTTTGTTTCTCAAGTTGCCAAAAAACAAGGCATTTTGAAGGAAGCGGGATGATTCAAAAAGCTACATTCAGAATATCTGTTAGAGCGAAGGTCAGATTCTGTTGTCAAGGCATCAGTCATGCATGTAGGGTAGCTATTCCCCCAATTTAAAGGCAATGTCCGGGCAAAGATGGGGTCATACGGGAGCCATGTGAAAAGCGGATTCGGCAAGGCGAATGCGTTATTATAGCTTTAAGGGCCGGGCATACATCAAGCGATTTCATCGTCGCAATTTTTGGTCGTCGCGATTTGCCGCAAGTAGCGACGAAGTCGCGACGACTGCATCGCTAGTCGCTCGTTGACGGGCATACTTCCGCGGCGAATCGCGCATCCTTACACTTGAGCACATAATATGTGAT